TCTCAGGGCACTTTACAAGGGCTAGTGAATGAAGTCTCATAACAGCCTTGTGACCTGGGTGTCACTATTGTAGACATTTGCGGAAAGGGAAACTGAACATGGAGAGTTGGTGACTTTGTGTCCGCCCCCCAAGCTCCACCTCCCACCCCTGCCAAATCATACAGCTAGTCTGAGGCAGAGCCAGGGAAAGAAATCAGGAGTCCAGATGCCCACAGTTCAGCTCAAACCACTAGACAACACTTCTCCAGTTATTTAACAGAGCAGATTTCATTAACATCAATGGAAGCTATACATGGAACTCCCTTTCTGCTATGCTCTGAGTGTCTCAAGACAGGAACATGCCCATTCATCTGACCTGCGCATTCAAAACGCTAACTGGACAATCCATTTCAGCTCAGTACTAATGTGGACACGAGAACGAATGGATATAAACTGGCCGTTGGGAAGTTTAGGCTTGAAATTAGACGAAGGTTTCTGACCGTCAGAGGGGTGAAATATTGGAACAGCCTTCCGAGGGAAACGGTGGGGGCGAAGGACCTGTCTGGGTTTAAGATTAAGCTAGATAAGTTTATGGAGGGAATGGTTTAATGGGATAACATGATTTTAGTCAAAGGAACAGCGTGCCATCGCTGGTAAGTAGTATAATGGCTAATGAGGGTCTGGCTGGAGAATCTTGCCTACATGCTCGGGGTTCTACTGATCGCCATATTTGGGGTCGGGAAGGAATTTTCCTCCAGGATAGATTGGCAGAGGCCCTGGAGGTTTTTCGCCTTCCTCCGCAGCATGGGGCAGGGATCGCTAGCTGGAGGACTCTCTGCTAATTGAAGTCTCTAAACCACAGGATTTGGGGACTTCAACAGCAGAGTCAAGGGAAAGTGTTGGGACGGCTTTGTGGCCTGCATCATGCAGGAGGTCAGACTAGATGATCATAATGGTCCCTTCTGACCTTAAAGTCTATGAGTCTATGAGTCTAATCCCAGCCCCTATGCTAAAACATGCTGTTCTCCTTGCTCTAACCTCCGGGACCTTCTATGCCAGACACAGCTTTCCCAGCCCAGATCTTGAAGAGTAATGAAACTTGACTCCACATCATTAAGCTGACAGTCATGCTGAGTAGGAGACTGTCCTTTCAAAACGTAATGAACATTCCTGCTGAGTGGCTGTGATTAGAGCCTCCTCAGTGCTAGGAGGGAAGTGAATTTCTTCCTGGCCAACCTTTTCTTTTCCAAGAAGCCCATTGAGCCCATGAAGGGCCTCTCAGTTCCCTTCTCACAGTGTCTCCTGAAGGCTGTTGCTGGAGGTGTATGTCTCCTCCCCACTAATCTCTCCATTCACAAAGCCTCTGAAGTGAATTGTTACATCCCCAATCTTTAGGGTCCTGAAATTCCCATGCAGCCAGATCTTCAGGTGGTGTAATTTGACCTAGCTCCATTGCAGTCAATGGCTCAACACGAGTGTACCCAGCTGAGCATCTTATCCACTATGCTTTGTTCTTTAGCTAGAGCTCACTGCACGGGGGCATTATCAGATTGTCTATGGTCCTGCAACCAAGAGAAACCAGTAAACCATTGTCACAGAGGGGAGAAGAGGGAAGCAACAAGGTTCTGGGAAGCACTTCAGAGCTCTCTTGCCTTTATCACATCATCTGTAGTCAAGTAGTGTAGGCCCCCGCAGCAGGAAAAAAGAGGAAGTGAAATCTTGCAGAAACCTCTGAGTTGCACATGGATTCAAAATTACATTGTAAGCTGCCCTATGTTGCTTTGAAACTGGTTCCACTGTGAGGATCCCGGGGCTCATCCACATTACAATTAGAAATGGGTTAAGGGGGATGTGAAACACAAAAAGAACTGCGAGGCTTCCCTGTTTTACTTCGTTATGAAGCAGAAAAAAGGCCTAAATAGGGCCTGTTAAAGAACTTTTCCCACAGGAGTTTTACATTAGAAATTCAGGGTCTTGACTATCTTCAAGACCCTATGGATGACTGGAGAAGTGGCAGGCTTATGGCATGAGTGAAACTGACCGAGATGGGAAATTATTCAGATGACTTAAAAAAATTTGGGAGTTGGGGGTGAGGGTGTGAAGGTTGGTGGTTTATGTTATCTTGAACACTTGGGAGAATAACGCTCTTTGATAAAACGTCAGCACCCTGTTCCTTCAAATAAGGGCTAGGGAAACTCCCTAGGGAGTTCTCCAGCAAAAACAAGGAGGATCAGATTTAAGAGTTTGATATTTCTAAAACTAAATAATTAGAAAATATTGGATTAATCTAAAGAGAGCGAGCACACACTTGCACAACCCTCGTTTTTCCCCTTTCCGTGTCACCTTTAAGTATACCCAGGCTCCGACATGCTCATCTGATATGGGCACAACTACTAACATTCAGCACATCCACAGGGCAGGCATTTTTCCTAGCACAACTGCGTCTCTTTTGGACCAGCCTCGCAACACACTCCAGGCTTGTTTCAGGTATATTGTGGGAAAATCTGTGCATATGTCCACATATTCGCTCACGTGCTGATGTGTGTTTTACAGGAGCCCCTGTGCTTTGGGATGTCCTCTCATACAAAGGCCTGATAGGCTGGAGACAGGGCCGGCCCCAGCTTTTTTGCTGCCCCAAGCGGCAAAAAAAAAGAAAAGAAAAGAAAAACGTGATTGAGTTGCTGCTGAAGTGCCACCGAAGTGGAAGACAGGGAGTGAAGGACCCGCCGCCGTAGACCAAAGCAGGCCGATTGAGCTGCCGCTGAAGTGCCGCTGCTGCCGCCCCGGATGTGCCGCCCCAGCAACAGACAAACTGACGCCCCTTTTTATTGGCCGCCCCAGGCACCTGCTTCCTTCGCTGATTCCTGGAGCTGGCCCTGGCAGGAGAAGTGGCTAATCCAGTTACACCAACACAGTCAGGCAGTTGCATGTACAGTGCACAAGAACTATGCAGACTCCAGTTCAAGCCCAGAAACTGTTGCAGACCCGCTTATAGCATACCCTCATGGCTAGGAACTGAGGGCCAGGCTCAGCCCTGGCATTAGAAGTTGACTTTGATGGGAATTTGCAGAACTGAATTTGATCCTGTGTGTGGACATACAAACCGTGTGTGGAGTCAGCCATGTTACAACCTACATACAAACTTGGAAAGAACATTGCAGTGAAACTTGCCAGAGATTCTAGTTCCTATGAATCCTCAAATAGGGTAGATTTTGTGCAATTTGGAGTTGCGGAACAAAAAGCTCAGACAACTCTAATTATTTTCACTGATTAAATGCAGAGCCACCTGCGCTGCTGCACTTCCAGTGTTCTGACACCTCAAGAGATTTAAAAACAAGTGCTTGTTCTGTTTCATTGTAGGAGCCATGATGTAAGGCCTCAATACAAAGCTATTTGGGGATGTGGAGCAAAATCTGAAACTGAGGCCACCCACCCTTCCATAAACCCTGATGATAGGCCCAGAGGTGGTCGGGTTGGCAAGTGAGCCCACCCTGCAGTGGCAGTTCTCATCCCGTGGGGCTGGACCCAGTTCCTCACTCCTGGCACACGGGGGGTGCAGTGCTGCTCAGATTTGGCCTGGTCACCTCTTTGTCATGATGGACGGGTGCTGGGCCAAACCCGAATGATGCTGCAACCTCATGCAACAGGTTACAATACCAGTCACTCAGATTTGGCCCAGTTGTCCTTCCATTGTGACAAAGGGAGGGCCGGACCAAATCTGAATGATGCTGCAACCCTGTGTACCAGGTTGCAACACCATGCAGTTTGCAGGTCCTCTGGAGTTCCTCGGGCAAACTGCACCCCCTCCAGGTGGCCCTGTTACAGATGCACACAGGGAAAACCGGTCAGTGGGGGTAGCCTCCCATACCCACCAGCTTAGAGACATATTAGAGAAAAGCTCTGTCAGTTACATAACTCAGCACTGCTAACAGGAAGGAGAGAGTCAAGCAATAAGGCCATTTCGAGGATTCCTCCAAACATAATCTCAGGGAGGAGACAAGTGATGCTCAGGGAGTGAATTTTCATTTGGTGACCAGATGCTTAGCAGTACAAATCCTAGTGACTTTAAGCGAGCTCATGCACACAGAGCACTATAAATCTCCACATGACAAACATACTGATCATGCTCGGTACTTATGTACCATCATCCACCTAAGGATCTCAGTGTGCTTCCCATTCTCAAAGCACTAATTAATAGTCAAAAATTCCTTGTGAAGTAGGTCATATTGATATTATTAAAGGTGGGTTGGTCCGTTGGTATTTTTAAAAGAAGTTTGTCTTTTTTCGGTTGTGCACGATCCCCAAGCAGCTTGTGATCTCCCTTGGATGTATCTGTGATTTGAAATTACTCAGGGAATCATTTCAACAGATAACCCTTGCCCCATCAACCATGAATGAGCTGTTCATTGTCCGTAGTTAGTTACCTCTGATAGGATACTTAGGTCACATGGTACCATTTCTGGTAGCTGATTGGAGCTGAAATAGGAGACGGAAGAGGCTTGGTGCCTGGGAAAGAATTGGCGGTGAGGAAAGGGAAAGAAGAGGAGAAGGAGCATGAAGAGGAGAAGATAGAGCTGAGGCCCACTGGCAGCATAGGGCAGGCTTGCACAGCTGCTGCCCATGGCCGTACTTGTTCTGTGGATTAAGGTCTCCGACACTGTCAATACAGCTTCATACAGGAAAGTTAAAGGAATGGGAGATAAGCAAGAAGAGGAGAGGCAGTGGTCACTAGAATAAAAGACTTTAGGCCATTCAGAAGCACCCTTAAAGTTAGTCACAGTCCGGCACAGCTGTGTGACAACCAAGAGTCCAGAGAGGAGACTCCCAATTTAAAAAAGGTTTCTGAGAAATACAACCGCAGAAAAACACATTGACCAAATGTTACTGAAGTCCGCTGAGTTTTAGGGGTGTATGTCAGGGTAGAATTCAACCCACTGCCTTTAAGTATTAATCTTTGAACTGAAGGGAATCTGCACATCTCCACTGAGTAGCCTTCCCTGCCTGTGAGCTCACCAACATACCTGCCTGGCGGCTTGAGAAGGCAAAGACAATGATGTCATCAAAGGTCCAGGTGTAGTCCTGGTGTGGGGGGTAAAACATCAGCTTGTCCGAAGCCTCTTTCCTCAGGTCAACGAGGAATGTGGAGTGAACCATCGGGACAGCAAAACAGCCCAACCTCTTCCATTCCCTGATCAGGGCATAATCCGGTGTCTTTCTGTAATAGCCCTGAAATGTGAAGATCCAGCACTTTATTACCATGAGACATTTCAAATGACTAGCCTACTGACTCTTTTCAGTAGAGCTTGACCAGTGCCAAAATCCCAGGTTCTCTCATTCCCAATTTTTGGGGCTGTTTGACATCTGCACTTGGAACTGAATTTCCCAAATTGCCCCACTCTTTCTTATGGGCTGACCCAAACCTCTGGGTACAAGTACCCCCAAACCTTACAGCATGACCCCATCTTCCCTTTTCAGCAGCTAATGGAGACCTAAGCTGTACTACTGCAAAGTTCCTTGGCGGCAAAGCTTCAAAGCCAGCCTGGCCAGGTGTTACTCCCTGACTCTCTAAAACCTACATTTGCACACACATCTCCAAGACTAATCCTGCAAAGTGCTGAGCACCCTCAACTTCCACTGAAGTCAATGGGAGAGGAGGGTACTGAGCAGCTCACAGTATCAGGCCCTTCCCTAATTACGGCAATCCCCTTAAAAATCAAATCCCCTTTCTGCTCCAGGGCTGTCAGGCAGGCACAACGCTGGTCTTGATACTGCATCCGTTGAAGTCTATGGGAATTTTCTCATTGTCTCAATAGCAACTAGAACAGGCCCTTTGTCAACAATGGGACAGATTCCTCCCACTAGAAACTGGGTGGGTTCAATTTGTCTTCTTCCTGAATCTCTGGGCTAGCTGTGCCAGAGGGTGGATTCACCCCAGGGCAGAACAGCTTTAATGTCCACTTGGGATTCCAGGGGGTTCCACCAAAGGGGTTTGCCTAGGACAGATGCTTGATCAGCATGTTACTTGTGTCTGCCTCCCAGGTGGACCTTCCATCAGTGTGGGCTCACAACCTGGGTTGTGGTGGCTTAAATCTGGCCTTTGCCCATGTAATGCTACTAACACAATCAGTGATGGAAATAACAACCTAATACTCAGGCTGAGGCAGTCCTAATACATTGATCAGATGTCTGAACAATGACAAGGACTGGCGTGGATCCATAGCAAATTCTGGTCTTCTTAAAATAAAATAATAATCATAAAATAAACAACAACAATCCTAATTCCTGAATGTTCCACAAGTATCCCAGCAAACAGACGTAAGTTGAGCAAACACCTTTCGGTGCCTTTTCTCTCTCTCTCTCTCCACGTAAGTTGTGCATCATCAGGAAAGGCTCCAGCTTGTCAGTTTTGCTGCCAAACCTTCCAACAGTTATTTTCCTGAGAAGTAGATGTTGAGCTCTTCAGCTCGGTCTTTGGATTGCTACTGTTGCTCTGCACTGTTGCTGCTGCTGCACCCTGCTTTTCATGCTTGTTCTAGCCGCTATTCCTGCACTAGTCCCCAGAAGAAAACAGACCAAGAGGAGTGTGAAACCATTGGGCTAGAAGTGTCAAAACTAGGAGTGGCCAGAAAAAAAAAGTGGATGTTTAGTTTTCACTCTAACCATTATTTACCAGGAAGTCTGTAGATCATATTTTCATCTTGTTTTTCTTTTCTTTACTGTCTTTTCTTAGCTAACATCAATAATGATGGGAAACTTGTTACCAGAGTTGTAGAATTCTGTGCCAAATCCTCTGCTGGTGGAAACTGGCTGTGATCTATTAAAGTCGACCGAGCAATGCTGATTTATGTCAGCTGTGAATCTGATCCCTTCTTTCTGAAGGCTTAAAGGGATGCTACCACCAGGATTCTCATACATTTTTAAACTTTCTTTATCCATATGTTTACTAATAACAATTCCTAATAACAAACTCAAGAATTGAAGAAGTTTAGGATGCTGTCCTGCAATTTTTTACTTACATGAGTAGTCTTTAGTCTGGCCTGTAATCCCAGTGATGTCATTGGGAGAATAAGGAGTTACAAAATTGGCCACAGAGTAAGGAAGAGCAGGAAGTTCTTTCTACACTTTTCCCTGTAGCGCCAATAAAATTAATAATGAATTTCTGGATTTCTCTTCAAAATATTAAAACAAAGAGTTGGGTCAGGGCAAGACTATAGAATTGGAAATATTTATATGTATGAGTCAGAGCAATTAAAGAACCTGAAATTAAATTATTTTCTCTGAATCTGAAAATGTTTCTGTTTAATTAATTCTCTTGCAAAACTCATTTACGGATAAAGAGACATTTATCAACTTTGGAATCTCTCAATCTCATTATGGCCCTAAAACTATAATAATTTCTAGAGTGTGCAATATTTTTGTTAGTAATATATACCAAAGTATAGATAGGGAATAAATTATTAGGAGTGCCGTGAACAGAACAGGGCTTGAGTCTCCTCTCTAAATCAGTTTCTGGAATACTGCACTGTATAAATCTGGTCGAAGTGCAAGGAGAAATGCTCACACAATGGAGTAGAGTATGGAGAAGAGTAAACTCTTAATTGATTTGTGCCAGAATACTGGAAAACCCAGGCTAAAATTATGTATCCGTGGTATTTAATTTCATTCAGATTACACAGAACATAGGGAATCACCTCCCATAGACATCAGTGCAACTGTGGGTATACTGGTATGTATACTTGGTGGGATTGGGCCATTACACATTATTTTTTGGTTACAAACAGCCTCACTTATAAAACATGCTCAGTCTCCTCAGGATTTAGCTTTTTCTAAGGAGGAGCCCCAGCTAAGGAAACAGGCCCCAGAAATTTGCTTGTGCTCTATATCAAGGCTAAACGCCACTTTGCTCACTGCCATCATTTGATGATAACACAAAACCAGCACCTCAAAATGTTGATTGCATTGAACATTGTAAAGTCCACTTGGGGTCAGCTCCAAGAACCCCAGGGAGCAGCAGCCAGGTTCTCTGATGTCTACAATAATGGATGGCCGCTGAGTTAACTCTGCTCCTGTCTCTCTATTTCCTTCATATCAGCCCCACCCACCTCTACAGACCTTCATGCTCCTGGATGATTAATGAGAACTCTTCCCCCACCCTCCCACACACACCTGCTTATTAATCCTCTGAGATCCCAGCCCTTCAGGAGTATTCGAAGAGCCACCGATTCCCACATGAATAAAAACCCTCATAATCCCCAACCACATCCCCACCCACCCCAATTGTCCTCTGCCTGCCATGCCAAGATTCTAATGGCTTTTGCAGCTGGTTGACCCCATGCTGCTCCCCACAATGAAGCAGGAGAGCAGGACCCAGCAACAGAAGGAGGTGGGGCAAGGCTCAGAGGCAGAGGAAGGAGGAAAGGTTCCAAGCCAGAGAGAGTCAGAACAGCAGAAGCTTAGGAGAGGATTCCCTAAAAGCTTTCCCTCCTCCATTTATTCCCAGGATCCTGAAAAGACCGAAGCTTCCCCTGATTTACCTCCAGTGTCTCCTACTGTAATGATGTTTGCAACTCTGCCTCTGAGGAAGGAGCGAGCTTACGTGGCTGCCTAATGCTCAAATCAGCCTGATTTGCATCACAGGTGGAGCAGCATCCCTTCAGAATAGAGAGCAGTCTGCACTGCAAGGCAGCTCAGGAAGACAGCAAAATTGATGTGGGGCCCACAGCATCACAGGCAAATGTGGGGTGAGTGGAGCCTGGTTGTAATAACTCGGCCAAATGTGATGTGAGCAGAGCCCTACTGTAATAACAGGGCCTCCAAATTTACCCTAATAGTGAGTTTACTGTCAAAAGGATGCAAAAGTTCTTAAGACATCACAACAACCTATAATAACAAATGTTGATGGGAAAATGTATGAAAACCAGAAAGAGAGAGAGAGAGCGAGACTAAATTAGTCCAGACAAAAAGGGCCTTCTCATATGGTTTATGGACTGTGTTAAAATCATGCTCGGTAGAAACATAAGATGTGGAACCAGAAATTAATGAACCAAAATTGGTATGTCAGAAACTAGACCTAATTGGTGGACAAAATAATGAGGAGATGGACTATTCCACCCAACGCTGCCTTTTTGGGTCTTTAAAGAAAGAGACTTTGGGGGGGAGAATACGAAAGAAGAGATGGCAGCTACTGGTGTGAGTGTCACCATCATGGCTGCCAACCCCACCGTTTCCCAGGTCCCTGGGTCTCCATCACTTTGATCCTGAGAGATGACCTGACCAGACCAAACTAAAGAGAGAGGGAGCCAGACCTCCCTCATCACCACTTTTACCAGCTCCAGCTGAACCCTAGATACCACCTGGGATGAAATGGGATTGGACTTTAACTGCAGCAGCAACAGCAGCAGAATCTCCATCTCAGCTCAACTAACTTCTCTTTTCCTCAAAAGGACAGTTATCACTATCTTTAATACCATCTGTAAGGGTGTGGACTCACCCCTGCAGCGCCTCCTGCTGGTCTCTGTTGGGAATTAGCTCTGCCAGCCTTGGAGTGCCCTGTGATCTGCCTTGCCGCTGGCCCCGTGTCCCTCCCAGGACCCCGGTGCCCCTTTTCTCTGGGTGCTGCCCCCTGGCAGTAACCCCTCAGTCTTAGGATCTCCCCTTCCCAGGGAACCCCCACCCACTATCCCCACCTCGCTTCAGTATACGGCTACTGCCAGTCATTGCCTAGCCCCCATGCCCTGGGGCAGACTGCAGTATCAGCCTACTCATCACTGGCAAGGTTGGGTTTGGACCTGCTGCCTTTGCCTACCTCTGGGCTGCCCTCTGCAACCCCCAGTACCTGTTGGCCTTATGCTAGGCCACAGCCTGGGGCTTTCCAGGCTGGAGCTCCCCAGCTCCTCTGCCTTTCCCCAGCCCTGTTCCACTCAGGTACCCTGTCTCTAGCTCCCTGCAGCCAGGCCCTTCTTTCTCTGAATACAGAGAGAGAGTTCTTCTGGGCCTCTGGTTCACAGACTTTTATAGGGACCAGCTGGGCTTGACTGGGGCATAGCCCAGCTGTGACTACTTCCCCAATCAGCCTAACTTTTCCCTGCCACAGCCCTCTCCCTGGCTGTTTTAAGCCCTTCAGGGCAGGAGCGAGGTAACCACCCTGCTACACCATCTAAGACAGCGAGAGGGTAATCCGAGGGAGGGCTGTCAATTTGTTTACATTTCTATGGCTGCCCGCAGCTCCCAGTGGCCATGGTTCACCATTCCCGGCCAATGGAAGCTGCGGGAAGCGGCGTGGGCCGCAGGGACATGCTGGTCACCACTTCCCACAGCTCCCATTGGCCGGGAACAGCGAACTGCAGCCACTGGGAGCTGCAGGCAGCCGTGCAAATGTAAACAAACTGTCTTGCGGCCTGCCAGCGGATTACGCTGAAGAGCCATGTGCGGCCTGTGGGCCGCAGGTTACCCACCACTGATGTAAGAGATGGTCAAACAAGGGGGGGGGTTTCCTTTTAAAACTCTCTCCAGCTCAAGGGAAAGGGAACAAGGGTTGTTGTTAAAATGAAAGCCTCACTGAACACTTTGCATTTCAACTGCTTTAACTGTTTTTCCTTCTTTTTTGTATTTTTAATAGACAGGATTTTTAATGGTGTATTTGCTGAGATCACTGTAGACCAAACACCGAATCTTGTTTAATGCTGGACAGTAACTGGGTTATGTTAACATCCTTGGGCCCCTATATTCCACCTAAATTAATACAACACCACAGTGAAAGCTCACACGAGGCAGCCCCCGATGCTGTTCACTAACCCCATTGAATATGTGACTTGCCTGAGGGGTGATACCACACCAGAAATTAGAATAGAGAGAGCGAGACTCCAGCATTGGTGCCACCACGGTCTTGTTCTCTGCTATCATCAGGTTCAGGGTCTCTGGATTGGTGAGCAAGTTATCTGCGTCTACAAACTAGAGAAGGAAAAGGGAGAAAAGACTTTTTCAACACAGATAAAGTACCGGTACTTTTACAATGTTCCTTCCTAGGAGAGGCGGTGGTTGAATGGCTCACGAAATTAGCAATGGGCTAGAGACACTTTTGCCTCTAAATCACTGATCTGAATCCAATCTGGGTTGACAGTCACTTTAGTTGTTACCATCTGATGGCTACTGAGAGCCCATGTGAAAGGAGTTGATGGGCTCGGTCTATTTCCCAGTGGACAAGAGTCCACTATATAAATACCACATCTAGCAGTGGCACTAATTAGCAGCTTCTGTGGAAAGGCCACTGAATGGGAAGAGAGACTGAACTTGCTTCTTCTCCTAAAGGAGATCATGAGGGAGGCTTGCACTGCCAGTGCCCACGCTGGATGTTATATGGAGAGACAGCAGCATTGGCTCCTCAGAGCAGGCACTCCCCACCCGTTTGGAGTCCGATACAGAAAGACTGTTGATCACTGCTGTAAAGTGGTTCAGATCCCACCCTTCCATGCTGTTCTGCCAAACTTCTTTCTGATGTCACCAAACTTCACTAATAGGTGCCCTTTTTAGAATCCTGCTGGCTATCACCAGCAGAACTACATTCACTGGCAAACATAGTCCAGTCTCTGTGAGTGGATCCCTGGGCACATGCTGAGCCCCATTGTACTCAGCAGGGCTCTGCACATAGATCTAATTGCAATACTGGGGCCTCACACACACAGTCTGTTGCGGATCAGATCAGCTGATTCCACAGGTGTTTTTCAAGCCGAATTCAGAGCAAACAAAGAGCTCTTCTTTTAGAAGGGAGGAACTTTTGGCAGACATTTGTGGGACTGATCAGAGCTCAGAGATGGTTTGTTTCTGCCCACTTCCCCCACTCCAAGCATGGCTGCAGAATGACTGCCTGAAAGTGTTCTGCCCAACTGCAGTTAACAAACCAAACCTCTCTTTTACCATGATGTAGTCTGACCACTTTTCTCTTGCAGTTCGCAGAGCTGCCTGCCTGAGTTTCATCACATGGGTAAACCTGGAGCTCGGCCAGTGTTTTGGCCCAATTTCATCGGGGTAAGACCTATGAAAGAAAAACAAACAGTTACTGCCTCCTGGCTCTGTCCATGCTGCAGCACCCCTGGTCATTACATTTCCCTTCTGACTTCAGCATAAAAGGAAAATAGACAGTCACCTCAACTGACCCAGGCAGCAGGAGAGCAGAAATGAAAAGGCAGGTTCTGAGGAAAAGTTTATTCCTGGAGTTTGTACACAAGGCTCTACAGAACACACCGTGCTACAGCATTTCCTGCCTCACACGTGGCTACGGTGAAAAAAGGGTGATGTCAAAAACAGCTTCTCATTCAGTGGGCCAGATTCTCTGCTTGTGTAAACCAGTGTCATTCCACTGAAGTCAGTGCAATCATGTTGATTTATACCAGCTGAGGATCTGACCTCATATAGCTACTCCCTGCTAGATATTAAGAGTCACATCTGTTCACATTACTCCCCTGCACCCAGCAGAGCCAACACAGCTCATGGAGAGTAATCTGGATTCTTTCATGGCTTGTACATCATTAGCCATTGTTACCTAAAGCCCAATCCCGACAAACTAACACTTAATGCTAAACTTAATGGGACTAATCTTGTGAGTCAAGTTACACATGTGCTTAATGGTTTTGAGGCTTGGAGTTTGTGTTGTGATAGCAGAATCTTCATTACTGATGAGGATGTGGGAGAAAGAAAGAAACCAAGGGCCAGATCCTCAGCTGATATAAATGGATCAGACTCCACTGATCTCAACAGTAGAGGAGCTGGCTCTGAAAAATTCATATTCACTAAAAAGCAAAGTTTTTTTTACAAAACCTAAAGGAGAAAGTTTCCAAGATTAAAATTAAAAAAGTCCAGTGGAAAGAGGATTGTTATTGAAAATTAAGCAAACATTGCCCTGCAAGATTTGCAAGACAAACACCAGAGCACTATGTTGTCAAATAAGACCCTGAATGCGAAAGTGATTGCATACAAATGTGAATTCGGTGTCTTTGTCCAACCTGGGAGAAATGCAAAAAAGTTTTAAAAAAAACAGCACAAAGGATGGAAATTAAATTATATTTTTAAAATCCTCTCACTTTCATAATCTGAAATCTTGTTAATAGGTGAAGATTTTTGTTCTTTAATATGGATGTCAAAAAAGGTAGGACAAAAAGTAAAGACAAGTAGTAATGGGTTTAGTCTGCAGCAAGGGAGATTTAGGTTAGATATTAGGAAAAACTTTCTAACTCTAAGGATAGTTAAGCTCTAGAATAGGTTTCCAAGAGAGGTTATAGAATCTCCATCATTGGAGGCTCTTAAGAACAGGTTGCACAAACACCTGTGTTTATGTGTTTCTGCCTCAGTGCAGGGGCTTGGACAACCTCTCGAGGTCCCTTCCTGCACTACATTTCTATGATCTTCTTTAAACTCAACAGTGTCCCTTTAAGTATCGACTTAAGTACTATGGTGGAGAATGGTTTGGAAGAGTCATCTGAGGGAAGGGATCAGAAGGAGACCCCATCGACCGGAAGGCATGGAATGCATTGTCCTAGGGATGGGGGTTCCATGACCACCAATCCCAAGAGGAGGAGACAGGTGGTGGTGGTCAGGGACTCCCTCCTAAGAGGGAAAGAGTCATCCATCTGCCTTCCAGACCAGGAAACTCGAGAACTGTGCTGCTTGCCTGGAGCTAGAATTCAGGATCTGACGGAATGTTTGCTGAGACTGATCAAGCCCTCGGACCGCTACCCCTTCCTACTTCTCCATGTGGGCACCAATGATACTGCCAAGAGTGACCTTAAGTGGGTCACAGCAGACTACGTGGCTCTGGGAAGAAGGATAAAGGAGTTTGAGACACAAGTCGTATTCTCATCCATCCTCCCTGTTGAAGGAAAAGGCCCAGGTAGGGACCATTGAATTGTGGAGGTAAATGTGTGGTTACGCGGGTGATGTCGGAGAAAGGGCTTTGGATTCTTCGACCATGCGATGTTGTTCCAGGAAGAAGGATTGCTAGGAAGAGATGGAATCCACCTAACGAAGAGAGGGAAGAGCATCTTCTCAGGCAGGCTTGCTAACCTAGTGAAGAGGGCTTTAAACTAGGTTCACCGGGGGATGGTGACCTAAGCCCGGAGGTAAGTGGGGAAGTGGAATACTGGGAGGAAACAAGGAGAAGGGTGCAACGGGGAGGCATCCTGATTCATACTGAGAAAGTGGGGCAATCAGCTGGTTATCTTAGGTGCCTGTACACAAACGCAAGAAGCCTGGGAAAGAAGCAGGAAGAATTGGAAGTCCTGGCACAATCAAGGAACTATGATGTGATTGGAATAAGTGTTGGTGTGGTAACTCACATGACTGGAGCACTGTCATGGATGGGTATAAACTGTTCAGGAAGGACAGGCGTGGGAGAAAAGATGGAGGAGTTTTCCTGTATGTAAGGGAGCAGTATGATTACTCAGAGCTCCAGTATGAAACTGGAGAAAAGCCTGTTGAGAGTCTTTGGGTTAAGTTTAGAGGTGAGAGCAACAAGGGTGATGTCGTGGTGGGTGTATGCTATAGACCACCAGACCAGGAGGATGAGGTAGACGAGGCTTTTTTCAGACAACAGAAGTTTCCAAATGACATGGGGGACTTCAAATCCCCCTGACATCTGCTGGGAGAGCAATACAGCAGTGCACAGACAATCCAGGAAGTTTTTGGAGAGCGTTGGAGACACCTTCCTGGAGCAAGTGCTGGAGGAACCAACTAGGGGCCGTGCTCCTCTTGACCTGCTGCTCACAAACAAATTGGTAGGGGAAGTAGAAGTTGATGGGCAATAGGGACCAAGAGATGGTCAAGTTCAGGATCCTGACAAAAGGAAGAAAGGAGAGCAGCAGAATATGGACCCTGGCCTTCAGAAAAGCAGATTTTGACTCCCTCAGGGAACTGAAGGGCAGGATCCCCTGGGAGGCTAATATGAGGAGGAAAGGAGTCCAGGAGAGCCGGCTGTATTTTAAAGAAGCCTTATTGAGGGCGCAGGAACAAACCATCCCGATGTGCAGAAAGAATAGCAAATATGGCAGGTGACCAGCTTGGCTTAACAGAGAAATCTTCGGTAAGCTTAAACACAAAAAGGAAGATTACAAGAAGTGGAAACTTGGACAGATGAATAGGGAGGAGTATAAAAATATTGATCGAGCATACAGGGGTATAATCAGGAAGGCCAAGGCACAATTGGAGTTGCAGCTAGCAAGGTATGTGAAGGGTAACAAGAAGGTTTTCTACAGGTATGTTCGCAACAAGAAGAAGGTCAGGGAAAGTGTGGGACTTTTACTAAATGGGGGAGGCAACCTACTGACAGATGATGTGGAAAAAGCTGAAGTACTCAATGCTTTTTTTGCCTCGGTCTTCACAGAAAAGGTCAGCTCCCAGACTGCTGCAATGGGCAGCACAATATGGGCAGGAGGTGAGCAGCCTTCAGTGGTGAAAGAACAGGTGAAGGATTATTTAGAAAAGCTGGACATACACAAGTCCATGGGTCCAGAACTAATGCATCCGAGGGTGCCATGGGAGTTGGCTGATGTGATTGCAGAGCCGTTGGCCATTATCTTTGAAAACTCATGCCGATGGGGGGAGGTCCCGGATGACTGGAAAAAGGCTAATGTAGTGCCCATCTTTAAAAAAGGGAAGAAGGAGAATCCAGGGAACTACAGACCGATCAGCCTCACCTCCGTCCCTGGAAAAATCATGGAGCAGGTCCTCAAGGAATCCATTTTGAAGCACTTGGAGGAGAGGAAGGTGATCAGGAACAGTTAACATGAATTCACCAAGGGCAAGTCAATCCTGACCAATCTGATTGCCTTCTGTGATGAGATAACTGGCTCTGTGGATATGGGCAAAGCGGTGGACATGATACATCTTGACTTTGGCAAAGCTTTTGATATGGTCTCCCATAGTATTCTTGCCAGCAAGTTAAAAAACTATGGATTGGATGAATGGACTATAAGGTGGATAGAAAGTTGGCTAGATCGTCGGGTTCAACAGGTAGTGATCAACGACTCGATGTCTAGCTGGCAGCCTGTATCAAGTGGAGTGCCCCAGGGGTCGGTCCTGGGGCCGATTTTGTTCAACATCTTCATTAATGATCTGGATGCTGGGATGGATTGCACCCTCAGCAAGTTCGCAGATGACACTAAAATGAGGGGAGAAGTAGATATGCTGGTGGGTGGGGATAGGGTCCAGAGTGACCTAGACAAATTGGAGGATTGGGCCAAAAGAAATCTGATGAGGTTCAACAAGGACAAGTACAGAGTCCTGCACTTAGGACAGAATAATCCCATGCACTGCTACAAGCTGGGGATCGACTGGCTAAGCGGCAGTTCTGCAGAAAAGGACCTGGGGATTACAGTGGACGAGAAGCTGGATATGAGTCAATAGTGTGCCCTTGTTGCCAAGAATGCTAACGGCATATTGGGCTGCATTATTAAGAGCACTGCCAGCAGATCGAGGGAAGTGATTATTCCCCTCTATTTGGCACTGGTGAGGCCACATCTGGAGTATTGTGTCCAGTTTTGGGCCTCCCACTACAGAAAGGATGTGGACAAATTGTAGAGATTCCAGCGGAGGGCAACCAAAATGATTAGGGGGCTGGGGCACATGACTTATGAAGAGAGCCTGAGGGAACTGGTCTTATTTAGTCTGCAGAAAAGAAGAGTGAGGGGGGATTTGATAGCAGCCTTCAACTACCTGAAGGGGGGTTCCTGAGAGGATGGAGCTAGGCTGTTCAAAGTGGTGGCAGATGACAGAACAAGGAGCAATGGTCTCAAGTTGCAGTGGGGGAGGATATTAGGAAAAACTATTTCACTAAGAGGGTGGTGAAGCACTGGAACGGGTTATCTAGGGAGGTGGTGGAATCTCCATCCTTAGAGGTTTTCAAGGCCTGGCTTGACAAAGCCCTGGCTGGGATGATTTAGTTAGGGTTGGTCCTGCTTTGAGCAGGGGATTGGACTAGATGACTCCTTAGGTCTCTCCCAACTCTAATCTTCTATGATTCTATGATTCTAACTAAATGATAGTTTCCCTCAAGATTTCTTCCTCAGGCTTGCACTAATTCCCTGGATGGAAAATTACTGAATATTGAAAGCCAGGGACAGAGTTTTGACCGGGGTTGGGGAGATGGAGCACGTTTCCGTGAGTCTCCTGGAAAATAAGGAACCAATCTTTAATTCATTGTACCTTTCAGGGAGATTTTTTGGGTGTGCAAGGAAGGCAGGCTCACATGGGAAATGACTGAATAGAACTGCTTTCTGCTGATAGGTCGCCATCTGGCAAAGTCCTTAACTTTAAACACATGAGTATTCCCACTGAAGTTAAAGATGTGCTTAAGTGCTTTGCTGAGACAGGGCCTTAAAGAATCTGAGTGTAAATCCTGCAACAATCATTTGTTTAAACCACCACTGGTTTAAAGATTTCTATAATCTTGATATTGAAACCCCCAAACCGTTTAGGAAATCACTGGCCATGATACTCACTGAGGCTCCTCCATAGGCCTCCACTCCACATAATGATACAGTTTTTGCACATTCTTCAGCCACTCTCTGAGGATCTCTGTGGTGTTATCAACGTTATGGTCAGTGGCTGCCCTGGAGAAATAAGGGCACAAAGAATCCCATTAATGTAGCATCTGAATAATAGACACAGACTGGACAGGGTAGGACCAGATTCTTTCTTGACAAAGAAATGCTCTCAAATGGGCGGACATACATTGTGTATAAATAGTAAAGTGCACCTGTATGCTGGCTGGCACCCCTGTAACTTTCCTCCTGTCCTGGCCTAGGACAGATTAGGCCTGCCAGGAGCTCATATAATCTGCACTGGAAGTGTGTGTATAGTTCCAAATCCTGGTAAGAGACATACACACAAATCCATTCAACCCCCCCTTAGGATTCCCCTCGTGGGATTCTCTCTGCAGCACCTGTCCGGGTATGTCTACACTGCAATTAAAAACTGCCAGCTGGCCCGGGCTAAAAGCTCAGACTCAGGAGCTGTTTAATTGCAGTGTAGATATTAGTGCTCAGGCTTGAGCCCTGGATCTAGGACCCTGTAAGGTGGGAGGGTCCCAGAGCTCAGGAGTCCATAGGAGAAGGCCCGCGGCTTCTTCAACTGTTTCTGCCACCCGCTTTTCTGAGGTTGAATGTGTGCACTCGTGTTGTAAGAATCGGGTATAAAATAGCCCCAACTGAAATCAAATCTCAGCAGGGTAGATTCAGCCCTTCATGCTCCCTAAGCTGAGCACCACTTCCCTATTGCTCTGTTTCCAATGCAATTTACTATGATTGGGTCTTTTGCAGGAAACCTGACAGACTGGAGTCCTGACAGATTCACAGTAACACTAAGGATCCCACAGCACTTTTCCTAAGAGCTGGGATTTGCCCATTGGCATTGGACAAAATATTCCCTATCCTCAAAGCCATGCAGCGGGCTGAGTACTACCATGGTCCCAGAGGCAGACACATTTCAGTGGCACTGTACGGGGCAGATCCTTAGTTGTATAACATAGCATAGCTCCATGGACTTCACCCTGCTGAACCTGCTAAGGATCTGCGCCCTCTGTATTTAATTTATGCAGTGCTTTGAGATCTTTCAGGACAAGGTCTTAGGTATTTTTTCTTACAATATTATATGACCTTATGAGACACAAACAAGGTCTGATTCTTTTCTTGTTTACACTGGTTCCATATCAGTGAAGCTTTTGTCTCCAGGGAATTTACCCGGTTTAGTGAGAGGAAAATCAAGCTGGGAAAGAATTAAATAGCTTCAGGACAGAAAGAAAGAAAGAAAGAAAGAAAGAAAGAAAGAAAGAAAGAAAGAAAGAAAGAAAGAAAGAAAGAAAGAAAGAAGTAGCCCAGTGCCAATCCTAGGAGACTTATTGGTGTTCCTGGTTTCCCTCAATGAATATAAAAAGCCACGGCCTGTAACAGAAGACAGCAGTGGTTTTAGCCAGCTGCACCAATAACTTCAAGGGTTGTCTAACATTTACAATCCACATTCCTAAAATATCAGGGCACTCTTTTTAGTGGCCCTGCATTAGCAATCATTTGTGTTGCGGTAGCACTTAGGAGCCCCAGTCGTGGGACAGGCCCCCATTGTGGTAGGCGCTGTATAGACATAGAACAAAAAGACATGCCTTCCCCTAAGAGCTTCCAAGTGTGTCTCCCTTCACATTTTACAAGGTCCTAGTTACTCCTGATGACAGGGGAGGTTTTCAAGGGAGAGTTAGGCACACAATATATGGTCAAGACAGGTTGTGTAGGTACCTAACTCCCCTTTGTGCCTTTGACAATATCCCCCAATTTTTCTATCCTGCTGAGTACATGTAAGGGAGAAGAAGAGGGTTTGACTGTAGTTTGGAGAGGGGAGTTGAAGCTCTGGCTCTGGTGTTGGGCCAGCCCCTTTATTACCGTGGGGCTGCTCTCTCACTTCACGCCAACGCCGAGTGTGGACTCTTTCTCCACTCAGCCCTGAGAACTACACAACCCCAGAATGTCAGCAGTATTGACATTCACGGGGAGAGCAAAGTGAAGGAAGTAGGAAGAGATCGAGATAGTCATTAACAAAGGAAAAGCAATTTTCTTTAAAAAAAATGAATATGAGGGAACGTTCCCTTTCCCAGCTGTTGATATACAGACATGAGGTCTGTTCTTGGAGGCTGGAAAAGCAGCTCCCCTAGGAAATAAACGCTGGCTAGCTGAACAACCATCCTTATGGATTAAGCAGACAGACACATAGGCTGTGTTTTACAGAGTTACAGCAATTCCCCCGTTAGCAGCTAATTCACACTTATATCAATAGTGCCTCCTTGCTTGCTCCAGTCCAAGCGTGGAGACAGAAGTCTGCTCATACTGTCTGTTAGTGCAGGGATGCAACTATAGGGTTCTACAATGAGCTCCATAACTGTCCTTGTTTTTGAGAGAGGCGCAGCGCACACAGACCACATGTTCAGCATGCAGTGCTCCATGTTGTGCCAAGATGGAGCACTTTTTGAAAATAAACACTTGACTTGTGCTACACTAATTGCTGGAGTCTTTCATAAAACATTGCGATCAACACAAACACAAGTCTCAGTCCAGTTCTACTGGACAAGCGTCCTCTTCACAAAAGCCTCCATAAAAAGCTGCACTAGCTGGCACTCGCCAAAGGGAGGCTGAGAGGTGAAATGAAATGGAAGCTGGTGGAATGGCTAGGTCATCAGAGAGGTCACTAGAGGGAAGCCTGCATAGCTGGAGCCTATGCTGTACCTACTCTGTGGGTTAGGGACTAAATCCTGTTCCCATTGGAGTTTTGCCAGTGACTTCACGGAGACAAGGATTTGGCTCAGATAAAGGATTTCAGTCTCCAGGTGTGTCCATCCAGTGGCATTTATAAGCCTTAAACTCTCAAACACAACAAAGTTAGTCACTTCTTGGATCACACATGCTCGGTGACTAGCAATTTGGCAAACCTTTACTTTTTCCAATTTAGAGCTTTAAAAATAGGCCATTCCCAACAGCTATTTTTGTTATTGTTCTCAGAACTATTTACATTTAACACCATTAAAAATCAGCATTCACCCATTGTTTACCGCAGCAGTATGCATCCGCCCTTGGGATAAGAAGTGACTGTGGTGTCTCCAATATCTCTGTCTGGAAACAGTGGGGAAATCTTGACTATTTTATGACACCAACTGCATAAAAACCAAACCACCAACACCAAAAACCAAACAAAACATCAACACAGGTTTCTACTGTTTCTACATAAGTTTCCCTTATAAACTCTGCTTTTCTGTAATCACACGAACAATCTCTGCCACAGTCACCTTTTAGGGGAGAATGGGACATCGAGTAGGTTGCAGATTGGTAATACAATCCAGAGCTTTTTAACCTCAGCGCTCCAATTCTAACTTAGAGGTTACTCTCCCATTGTTTCCCATGGCATAAGGGAAAGGAGTCTGATAGTCTCAGTCCAATTCCAATAGCACAGAGGTGTCCACATCACAAAAAACACCATCATCATTTGCTTCCTAACTGGCTGTCTGGGGTGGTACACTGAATGGCCATGGAGAATGGGCTATACTCTCCCCTACAGAAACAGTTCCTGCCAGAAGGGGGTTGAGGCACATTGACAGGGCAATTTGTGAAAAGCATATGCTGTACTTGGTCTGTCTGAACAAACATGGACTAATTTACTAGAATGCTCTGTGGTGGTGCAGGGATAAATGCAAGTGACAGAGGACTCATTGTGAGGATGCACAGTTTCACACTAGCTAGTCCTGATGCTTCAGTTACACACAATATTCTCCACTGTAAAGGAGCCTTCTTTGTGCTCAAACTATTGACATTTTAAAACTCATCCTGAATGCAGCTCTGCACTAAACAAGCCTCTTTTGAAAACTGACACTGAGAAAACAGCTTGATTTTTTTTTAAAGCAGCGTTTGCTTGGGCGTATTGGTGTTGCCCTGACCCCAGCTTTCAATGGAGTTTCATGAATGAGAGACAACTTCTAAGTTCAAAATTTCAGCACAGTTCACACCCAGTATGTAGACAGCACACAATCCTCATTCAACGGTGACCAGCCATAAGGTCATATTAAGAATGGTGACTGGACTGCCCCCTGCTGGTGTAAAGTAGTAAAAACAAAATCAAACCCAGATTTCTGTAGCTACAGATAGCTACAGATCCTAAAACAGGCACCCAGATTCTGCTTGAGTGCTGCATTAAAACAAGTTTTCAGGAATTCCACCAAATTTGCATCCCATGGAGCAGATGGCAAAAGTCCCTAACTCCACTGTTAATATGGCCAGGCTGGCACAGAGCTATAGTTCCCAGCATACAATGCCCCATCCTGATCCAATTGGTCAGGCTGACAGAGCTGCTTAGCTAGACATGGAGCACTGCATTCTGGTACCTGTAGTCTGCACGGCTTGCATCACTGTATGAAAGAGTAGAGTGGCCTGGGGCCATGTTGATGAACTCACTAGACCATCTTAGCCATTCCTGTCCTTTGATTTACCTAAACTGTAGTAGAATAACCTATACAATATTGCCAATTCCAGACATTCAAAAATCATGATTTGAGCCCCCCAAAACCATGAGATTGGCTGATAAGCCATGAGATGTTTTAAAAAAAATAAGAAACTTGTTCTTCTGGTTTCTCAGCCTCTAGGGTGCACTCTGGTCATGTTTTCAAGATTTTCTCTGCAACCACGAGGGTTAGAAATTTTCATTTAAAAAAGACAGTAAACTGAGTGACCACAAGCACCGGTCATTCATACCCTACAAACTACTGTAATAATCTTACTACAAAATATGCCTTATGAGATATCATTTGAAAACCAATAACTCACTGATCATTAATATTCTTGGGTGATTTATGGATGCAGTGTGTATTAAGAGTTGTGGATATATGCTGGACTTATTAATAAAGTGTGTTTAAACCAGGCATATGGAGGAAAGTTGGTAAGCAGATCTTCCTGAGAGTGCGTTGGGTCCCCTTGCTGGTTGTAACAGGCAGCTAGAGTGAGAACTGCTGAACCCCGCCCCTGCAGCCTGTGACCCCTGCTCCCCACTCGCCCTGCAGCCCCTGCACCTCCCCACCCCTGCGGCC